TCTTGTCCTCCTATTTCTCTTACCCATCCCTCTCACTCTTGTTCTCTCTTCCTTCTCCAGACATGTTTGTGGAGAATGTCCTGTCAGAGGTCAGAGGACAGGCCGTCTCTGTGGCCACTGATATCACCGGCAGCGTGGCTCTCCAGAAGCTCCTCCCCCTGGCTAGCCCCGCCCAGGTGGGCGGCGTCCTCACTGAGCTGGGCGGAGACTCGGGGGCACAGTTCAAGGCTGTGTCATGTGACCGCTGTGGAGCACATATCGTAGAGACCGCTCTGCGGCAGACACACAGACTGCGAGGTGAGAGGTTGGACGCTGGGAGAGACAGAGACAGATAACCATACAGTTCAGTACTGACAGAAACAGACAGACTGAGAGTCGCACAGACACGAGAATCAGAATGAGTATTCATAGGTCTGCTTGTGGACAGAGTGACAGGTTAGCGCCACATGAAGCACACAATTAATACATAACGCTAAAAATGGTTGTATGTTTCTGCTGACCTGTGGTTTCTCCATGGACAGTGGAGGATCCAGAAGCTACCACAGAGAACAGGAGTGAGGCAGACGGGCAGGCAGATGGCGAGGAGGATCATGGGATGCTGGAGAAGCAAGTGCTGGCACTGAGTCGCGCAGTGGTGGACAACCTGCTGGAGTTCGCCCAGGACGCGCACGGCACCTTTGTTGTCCGGAGGCTGGCCGAGACGCTGGGGGGCAGGCTGACGCAGGGCCGACCGGACCGACAGACAGGTGAGGGGTCAGAGGTCACACTGTGAGCTGAGCCAGTTCGGCTGTTTGTGCGTGATGCTTTGATGCTGCTCAAATATACATGGAGCTTGTCTGCTGCAGTTGAAGCATTTCTTTCCTTGGGGTATTAGCATAGTCACACATGTCAAATGTACTGCCTGCATTAACTTGACGATGGTCTCTAGCTAAACTCTTGGAGCCTGAGGACGCTGCTCTCAGGACGACAGTCAGCCGGGTCTCTGATGGTGTTCTCTGGAAACCTACAGGTCGGAAACCTAGAGATTTCAGCACCCAGGTCATCGACTTCCAAGTCCCACCGTCATTTGAAGAGGCTCTTGACAGGTTGTCAGACTGCCTGCTGGACAATATCAATGGTGAGGCTGACCACACTCTCTCTCAGTGCAGTATTATTGTACTGTGGTGTCCAG